AAATGACAAAAACTAAGTGATGACAACTCAAAAAAAGATTTTAATCATTTAGCATTAAATGCCAGAAACCTAGGTTTTCGATATCAGACCTTTATTTAGATAGCAAGAAATACTATATGTTAAAAACTTATTTGGAACAAGTCATAAGTAGAAACTCTTTACAGATTCATTTAAAAAAAAAAAACACACACCTGTTAGAACGAAGGAAAGGAATGAAATATTAATGGGAGGTGTGATGAAAAATTTATGACGACGGGTTGAGTTTGAACCATCTTTGTTTGAGGGAAGGTTTAAGTTATAATACTCTTTATACATATCAAGAACCAACCACAGTCAATATCGCTTTTTTATTTTTATTTGTGTTTTATATTTATTTGAGCAGATATTATAGACGAAAGGGGATCACCAGAAAAGGTACAAAAAATATCATTGGTGCTTTATCATATGAAGAGAAACTAACCTCTGATTACAAACGAGATGGACTATGTTTCACTGTTTCTTTGCTTTTCTTTTCCTTTTTTTTCCCTTTTTTGTTTGCACTGTCTTTAACATGCTGTCAATACCGTTACCCTTTTTATGATACAGGAGATTTTGGTATGGTCATGTTCATCTACACCCAATTGAGGATATCTAATGAAGCTGGTCTAAATCCCTCTATGGAAGTCATAGAAGTTGTTTGTTCCACAAAATTTCCACTTCCATCTTCCATGTCTTTCATTGCTCATCTCAACCTAATGAATAACATCCATGTGTAGACGCGAGTGAAATTCAAACGGTAATTGAACTGTTAGATTGCAACTCCTCCTCAAAAGGCCCCAAAGGTTGGATTTTTTTCTCATATTTATTCCATAGATTCTTCAACATCATGAATTACATAGAATTTTTATGTTTTATGCTCACTGTATAGATCAAAAGAATCTCCTTATCATATATATTCAGCTATATCAGTGGAGAAATGGATACAAAACAAAGGCAATGTTTTATACAAGTCCCATTGCAAGCAAGATTTCTGAACCCCACCTTATCCACCTTTATTCTGAGAGCAATCAGAGCACTCATTTGCTTACTCAACCCCTTTGCTCTTGGGCAAGTGGCTACTTGACTCGAATGCGAAACGAACACCTAGAGGGGGTTGAATAGGTGTTCTTGTACTTTTCAAAACTTTTTGATATGGATTGTTAAGCTTTGGTCAATTTTGAGAATGTTGAACTTAAAAGAGTGCTAATACACACCAACTCTACACGATGAACATCCTTCACCAAATATGCAAGGTTAAACTTATAATTCAATCAAACAATTCATTTGTATTAACTTTTGCACGTTTAGGTCCCCATTATGCAATAAAGGTCGAGAGTAAAAACAAAATTGTTCCTTTACTCTTCTGTCACAGAATGCACAGATGAAGTACCAAGAAGATTGAACAAACAGTTTGTAACATAGTGTTATTCAAAACTTAGTAATATTACACAAAGGATTTTGTCAAAGTAATGCTAATTGGTAAATCACTTCAGAGTTATATCTTTAGACAAGAAATGCGAGTGATTACAAAGTGAGGTTTAATTTCACGGAATAACAATGGTAATATTATCTAAATTTAAGAAGAGTTACTCGGGTACTTAGTTTACCTTACTCAAGTACTCCACTGTATGACAGAAGCAATATAACAAATCTCACACTATTCAATAATGGTTTTTCAATTTAAGATCCTAATCAATTTCTAGTTCACAAAAAATCCAACTTCTGACCCAAGGTCAGTGGAGTCAATTCAATTCAAATTGCTTAATCCACAAGCTAGTGGTTATTCGAGTAAACTAATTTAATCTACTCGGGTAAATCTCAATAAAGTTGATTATTCAAGTTCACCAGGATCACAAACCATATTATATGGGTAGTAAGTGAGGAAAAATATACAGAAATATCACCTAGAATTAGTTTGGTATAAATGGCAGTATTTAAAAATTTAAAAGTATTGCTTTATGCAAAACAGACAGACCAGTCTTGAATCTTAAAGCATACTTCTCAGAATCTACTCAATTAAATACTTGAGTTTTACTTAGATATATTAAGTTTTTGGACAACTGTTGTGAAGATGCTTATTCTATATAAATCTGAAATCAAAGCTTTATTCATTGAAGCAGAACAACAATGAGGTCAAACTTTCAGTAATAAGCCAATACTGATGTAAGAAAATTCTCCGGGTACATTTGATTAAAACAACAAATTGATTTCAATGCAAATGCTAGATTCTGCACTAAATTACTCTAGTGCACCATAATAATGATTTGAATATAATATTAGGACAGAATTACTGATTTTGTTACAAAACTTTTATATGAGGACTTAAACAGTAGATAACAAACAACCAACCAAAAAAGTTATCTTACTCAAACTAACTACTAATAAATATTGATAAATTTACAACTGATATAACAAGCTAGCACATAATGCTCAAGAATAGTGTAAATCCTAATTTCTTGTAAAAACAGAGAATATCTGCACCAATTTATCAATTACCTCAAATCACTTCAATTGCTTCAACAAAACAGAATGGTAATGATAGTTCTCAAGATGTAGCACACGGTTAACTTGAACAAGTCACTTTACTAAGATATGACTGATTTAAACACCAAAATTGGTCTTTAAGTGCAATATTGATCTAACCCAAATTATCATAGAAGCTTTATTTATTCAATTTAAGTTGTCAATTCCACATATCAGAAATAAATGTTAAAAGATTACAGTTAAGCTCAAGATCCAATCAGAACAAATCAGTTCTTGATCAAGATGAAGAATTGTAAAAAGAGCAAAGGAAAGAAAACAAGACGCAAGAGCTTATCCTGGTTCACGCACCTTAGTGCAATGGGATGCCACGTCCAGATCGAAGATGGCTTAGTTTTTATTACAGATTAAATATCTAAGTTAAAATCAAACAACACACATGCAGTTCCAATAAAAACACCATAAGACAGACAGTTAAGAAAGATATCCCTAACCCTAGTTTTCTTGGAACACAATCCAAGTTCTACTAGCTTTAAACATTGAGAAATTTGCCTTTCAAGCTAAGCACCAAGACTTGAACATGGATCTTCCTATCCTTTACAGTCAAACGAAGACCACTCTCACTTAGAGTGTCTCTCATGCTTGAAGTATTGAGATAAATTAAAGTCAAGCTAACTTACTCAAATCCTCCAGGTTTAAGACTTCCCACTAGGGCTATAGATAGTTACACACAGAAATAACATCCAATACACTGTTAAAAATTTATCACAAAAAACAAGAAAAAAATAGGGAGGAGTACACCTTGTTTTGGGATCTGTACAACCTATCACCAATATTTGATTATCAGCAATCCTTAGCTCCAAATGAATATTATCCAACAAGAACTTATATGCCAAAGGAATATGTAAAAAAAAACCCTAATTTTAACACCAATAATCAATGAGAATCTCGAAATTTTCTTTACTGCTATTCTATGAAGCACCGACTCCGACACGGCGTTTTCGATACGTTCCTAATACGTTCTCATTACGACTGTTAATTCGTCGATACGATACAATACGTTTTTTATACGCGTATCCGATACGTTGGAAAAAAAATTCGGAGTATCGGTGCTTCATAGCTGCTTTTCACCAAAAATTATAATTGGAAGCTCTTCGTAAGAAACTGACAGCCTATTATCCTAAGTTTGCATAGTCTAATTTTTACTTTAACATATCCTATAACAGAAATGCATTTAACAAATTTATCATTACTTTTAATAAAATTACACAATTGCCCAAAAAAAGGTCCCATTTGATTAAAAGTGTTAATATAGCTTCACCTAAAAGCTTAAGCTTTTGGGCTGAAATGATTCTTTATATGGTATCAGAGCCTCGGTGTCACAGGTTTGATCCTCATTGTCCTCCATTTACTAAAAATTAATTATGTCTTGTAGAGTTTCTTAGCATAAGTAAGTTGAGCCTGATGCATTGTTTACCCTTTGAGCCCAATGGACTCTCGTGTGAAGAGGCGTGTTAGATATATATAAAATCATTAATATAGCCTCAACCAAAAGCTTAAGCTTTTGGGTTGACATGGTTTTTTATGAAATGAGAGATGAAAATATATAGATGTTGTACCTAATATGCAAATATAGATGTTGTGTTGGCCATATAATACATGAACGCTGAATATTTAGCAAGCAAAGCTTGCTTAATAGTTGTTTAAGATAGGTCCCATATGTGCTAAATGTACCTAGTCTGTGATATAAAGCAGAGTTTGCTAGAAGGTTGGTATGTAGAATGGTTGCAAACTCTTAAAAAATAGCTCAGTGACTCATTTCACACAGACCACAAAGTAGTTCACAAAAATAGGATTTTATTCTAATTTAATTCTAATTGGCTCATGTTAATAAACGTGAATTCGTTGAAACCAGCATACAACATCTTTAGTAGGTTCAAATCACATGTCGCATTATGGTTGTTTGCTCAGGTTAAAAAAAAAGATGAGGGTAAAAAAGTGTGATAGAAAGGTTTTTTATTTTTATTCATTGTTGTCTAATGAAGGATGAGTAACATTAGTTACATGAATACCACAAAAGTTAACAAAATTGGCTGAATGTTAAAAAAATGAAGACAACTAAATCATATTATGTCCAATATATTCATGATCCATTTGATGCTGGTACAACTTCCACCATTTTGATGCTGCAAGACTCTTGGTGAATCAGAAGGAAATATGTTCATGATCCAACAAGTAATCATCAAATCCCTTTTCTCCATCCATTAATATATTGAAATCCTGCATCATAAACAGTCTTACATAAAATGTTGTGAATAAGACAAAACTTAAGTGTTTTCATTTTAGACCAAAACGATGGAATTAAACAAAGAAAGATGGAGCAGATTTGAATCAGGTTAGACAATACCGATGGAATTAGAAAACCATTTAAAGAAAGATAAAATGGGAAGTTAATTTCTCTTAAAAATTAAACAAATACAAGAATATTTGATCATGCCTGTTTAACCAATATCACTCACTATGTCATGTAAAGTACCAAAAATATCCTCCTCGGTGAGTTCTTCTTGGGGCTGCAAAATGTAGGCATCATTTGACTTCATTCCTGCATCTAAATAGGATTTATCAACTTTTGTGGATTGGGTGATTGATGGAGCAGCCTCACTCAGTTGGCCAACCAAGGATGCATCAATTCTCTTTTTGCTTGAATCCTTTAAGATATTGTCAAGTAAGCCTTCTTTGCATTGCAGCTCCCCTCTAGCATCCTCCAAAGGAATACCAATAGCACTTGTGGAAGAAAAATCAACTGGATTGTTCCCTATATGAGAATTAGAGGAGGAAAACTTCAAGCTATTCAGAGGCAGTTGATCTTCATATAAAACCTCATCCAAAAGTGAAGAATTGCCAGGAAAGTTAGAGGAAACCACATATCCATTTGACCCATCAATTGAACTAAACTGCTCAAAACTAGTTATATAGTTGCTCTGCTGAAATTGGTTAAACTCGATTGAGTTTGGAATTCCCTGTGATAAACTTGAGCTTTGATTTGCAGAAAACATGCACGGCTGGATGTTTCCAAGTGTTTCTATGGAGTTGTTTATATTTTGTGTCTCAATAGATTGGACCGGTGCAGAGGGATCGATTCTTCTTGATCCAAATGAGGTGTCAAAATTTCCATATCTATCTATTGAATTCATTTGCACGTAAGAATCACTACAACGCGACGCAGCAACCATGCTAGCTTGTTGAGTTGTCTTCTTGAGGCAGCCAAGTTTGTATTTCTGCAATACAAAATAAGAGTGAGCTTATGCACTGTTATCGCAATACAAGTTATGGATTAAAGTTATGCATTTTTATGGATATCGATATTTCCTAATTAACTTTGTTCAAAATTTTAATAAACCATTAGTTTTAAACCATCTTTTGCTTAAAGTTAAAAAGTATATTACCCCTTTAACTTTGATCATGTGCCAAAATTGAAACCGAAGGGGTCTATATGCCAAAAAGTAGATATCATTTGTATTTTTTTTAGTAAACAAGATCATTTGTATTTTAAGCATAAACAGTCCAAAAATTTATGATAAATAAGGAATTTAAAATTCATACCTGTAGATGGCTTGCTACATTTTCTCTTGTAAGACCTTCAACATTCATCAAGTGAAGTATTTTCTTAGGAACTGCCTCTACAATAACAGTTGAAGAAAGATCATATTAGAAATGTCAATATCCATGTTGAGGTATCAAGTTCACATTATAAGTTCAATTTTCACATGTCAAACAGAAAAGGAAAATTAAATTTCATTATCATGTAAACTCACTATCAATGCCCAGTGAATTGACTGCAGCAAGAAATTTTGTTTGCAAGTCATCATTCCATTTTAAACGAGGCTTCTTTTGATTTGAAGGTTCCTCATTCTCTTTTGCATTCATTTCACCATTTTCTTCTTCCACACACGGTTCCTTCATTTTCTTACCATGCATTTGATTATGGTCAGCATTACTTTCTAATGTGATACTTTGACTACCTTCCCCCGCTATATTGCATGCTTTCTCCTCATTGAAGTGCGTATTTTGACCTTTGCAATCAATCTTTCTTCGCGCTACATGTTGCCATATATTCTGCAGTACTTGGATTCGAGGAGGTTTAATTATATAGTCACATGCGCCAAGTATAACACTTTTCTTCACGACCTCTATATCACTCAATTCTGACAACACTAGATCACCAAAAAAAATAAACAATGAAATAATAAATATCAGTAATCTCATAATAAGGAGAAGTAAATAACTTGTTGAATACATGCTAAGACAAGAGTATTTGAGCTTACTTATGACAGGTATGTCCATTTCATGTCCCACTATCTCTAGTAGCTTAAGTCCATCCATGTGTGGCATATTTACGTCGGTAATAACGAGGTCAAACATATTTCTATTTGTCCTCAACATATCTAATGCCTCAATTGACTGAATAGTTGTAGTAACTGCAACAAATATAAATCAGATGTTAGATTTATTCAGCATCGTAAAAGTTAAAGACCTCATGCAATATCAAAGTATATTGATTCTCCCAATAAGAAATTTATAGTTCTCACAGTAATGGGTTGTAAAGAACTTCTTATTACTCATACTTGAATTCCCAACAATATTTGGCAACACAAGAAAATAACTTTTTAAAATATTCTAATTTCAAAAGAAGTTTCAACTTTAAAAGATTTAAGAAAACGCTCGTCTTGCAAAGAAAGAAATTCTGAGTTGAAAATTTAGAAAATTGTCAAGTGATGTATATATAAGCGACAGGACACAATATCTGCCAATAGATTTAAAACTTTAGAGTGGCAACGAACTATATGTTCAGTTTATCACTACGCAAAATAAAGCATGACCCCACAAGCAAAAATCAATGCAGTTGATGAGCAAAAAATCAATGCAGACTCGAATTAAGAGAATAGGAAGAGAGAGGTGACAAACCCTGATACTGGCATTTGCGAAGCATGTTCCCTAACACTTCGAGACAAAGTTGATCATCGTCAACAAGCAAAACACGCATACCCACTGGAAAATGGTCTCCAGCCCCATCTTCATCTATCAAATAATTCTCCAGAGTCATCTTGAACCAGAATAAACACCTATATGAGAAACCAAGCAATGGTCAGATATCACAAATCACAGAGCAAAAAGCCCAAACTTTGACAACATAAACCTTATTTTTAATTTACCAAAAACAAAAAACCTCGTTTTTAGGGCCTCTTTCACCTAACATACAAACAATACATGACAAAAAATAAAAGGAGAAAGAGAACACAGGAAAATACTTGGAAAGTGATGGTAACTATTAGAGAGGAGAACAATAGATACCTATATGCAAAACCAAGCAAAGATTAGATATCACAAATCACACAGAAAATGCTCCAAACAAAAACAATTAAAAGAAACCTTGTTTTCAGGGCTGTCTTTAACCAAACAAAGAAACAATGCAACATGAGAATTAAAAGAAAAGAAAGAAAGAAACAGAAGAAAAGACTTGGACAGTGATGGTAACTAGTAGATAAGAGAACAACAGACACCTGTATGCATAACCAATCAATGATCAAATATCACAAAATCACAAAGAAAATGCACCAAACAAAAAGAATTAAAAGAAACCTTGTTTTCATGGCTCTTTAACCAAACAAAGAAACAATGCATTATATAATTTATTAAAAGTAAGTATATTTTAATATGCAAATTTTGAATATAAGCTAACTTCTAAAAATATTCTTTTATCCGCGAATGGTCATTGGTACAAAAGAAAAAAATCGGTATTGTGTTTTTACTGAGTTGGTTTCAACCTAATCAACGTGGCGGAGGTAGAAATTTTAATGACGAGGCGAAAAAAAAATATTATATTATAAATAAAAATACTTGAAATATAATACAAATATAATACAAAGCAAATCTTTGAACAAATCAGACTCCATTTAGCATACATAATCAAAATCAAATGCACGGTTAACAAATTAAACTCACTGCGGATGAACAAAACAAAATGCAATCACTTTACCATTCAGAAAACTAAAGTAATCCACTGACAAATAACAAGTAGCATGAATATGAGCAAAGTGTTCTAGCAAGCTACAATGAAGTCCAAAACTGAAAATATAAAAAAAAAGAGTAATGAAAGCATTAACGAGAATTAATGGAAAACAAAATTTTAATATTCATGGTTGTCTTTAAAAAAAGAATTAACGAGAATTAAAATAAAAAAAGAAGAAGAAAGAAACAGAAGAAAATACTTGGACAATAATGGTAACTATTAGAAAATAGTGAAGGGTTTAATTCAATTCAATTCAATTCAAACCAATAATGGAAAACACAATTCATACAGTGAAACTCTCTTCCTCTTTGTCAGCTGCCAAAGGCTTTGCTCTGTCTTATTTTTTATTTCTCTTATCTTTTTTGTTTGTTTAAGTACATTATGTCGTTAACTTTTGATTCCAATGCGAAAGATATCACAAGACACAAGGAAAATGCTCAGAACATTGACAACAGAAATCAAATCTTGTTTTCAATTTACAAAACAAAAAAATAAATAAAAGAAACCTTGTTTTCAATTTACAAAACAAACAAGAAATAAAAGAAACCTTGTTTTCAATTTACAAAACAAAAAGAATTAAAAGAAACCTTGTTTTCAATTTACAAAACAAACAAGAATTCAGAGAAGAAAAAGCGAAAATAAAGACAAGGCATGGAGAGGGAGGGAAGACCTGAGAGAGGGAGAAGATGAAATTTAAAGAAGAAGAATTCACTCAAAAGTCTCTTACTCTTTCTCTGCTCCCAACAGACAAGAAAATCGTTAACCTTGTTTCCTTATTCAAACTCTCAATAGAAAACAATGGAGTCGCCACCAAAGTTTATTTAGGAAAACATTGAAAAAACCTTTTTTAAAGGCAACTGGTCTTTGAAAACAAAAGAAATGGATTCGGGAGTCGAGTACGAGTAGGGAAGGTATTAGCACCCTACACCGTCTGTTAAAACGGTTACCTTATATTAATTGTGCAAATTATTGATAATATTTTAAATATTTATTTCACCCTAAATAAATAAAATTGATCGTTGGAAAAGAAAACTAATTTTGAAATTTTATTTTTGTACTTGACGGGAAGAGTCCCGCTCCGACGTATCCCTCGGTGCAATAGGGAACTCAAAGCTACGTCGTTCTGTAGAAAATATTTGTGTGTTGATTGATTTTAATTTTGAAAGTAGTTTTAAAGAAAATAATTTGAAAGTTTTGGATTTGATGGTTTCGGAATATCAAACTGTCGCAGTTAAAATAATCTGAAATGATAATTGCAGGATTAACAAGTTGTCTCAACTCAGCTAATCCTTTCTTTTAAAGAATAATAATATTCATATTAATCTTTTTTGTTATCGTAAATTTTGTGTTAAATTTGATTTTATTTTGAATCACCAAACCGTCACGGTCAAAATGAGTCAAAATAAATATGTGGAGTTAACAAGTCGTCACGGCTCAGCTGACTCCCATTTCAGTTGATATCAAATTAATTTTTGGCTAAATTATAATTTAACACCCCATACTTAGACCCCTCTCCAGAAAACCACCTTATACTTTTAATTGAAACAATAAACCCCCTTAAACTATGTCAATAATGCAATTAAGCATATCTGTTAAGAAAACATCTAATTCTGTTAACTCTCACGTGATCAAAAAATATTCCACCAAGTCCTTCTCTTCCTTTCCAAAAAACAAAAATTGTTCATGTTTCGATATCTTCATCACCGTATCATTCCTTTTAGGGTTTTCTCAGCATCTAATTTTTCCTATAAAAGAAATTATTATTCTTCATTCTCTTCTTCCTTTTCTGTATTGACTCCCAATGGTTCATGTTGGAGTGTGCCGCAATTAGCTAGGGAAATATTCAACCCACCTCAATTTTCTGCCATCGTAACATTCCCTATCTTTCTCAATCAGGCAGTTATTTTCGATTGAAATTAAATAACTTTAAATTGCATTTAGAGATCCTATCTTCCATGAAAAACAATTGAGACTTAAGATATCTATAGCTGTATTGGATTTGCATTTATTCTTGTATACTATTGTCTACTGTGACAGACTAATGTAATAATGATTAATGTATTTGATAAGTTTTATTATATTAAAATAATCTTCAAAAAGAAAAGACTCTGATACAAATTAACAATTTGAAAAGCTTTAAGCATGGTTGATAATTGTTAGGAACATGCAAATGCATGGGACAAAATGAAATGAAAAATGCTGGTGGAGTTCATTAATAAAAATATGGATTTGACAGTGCTAAATTCAGATTTGATAGATTTTTAGTTCTTTTATTCAAAATGGAAGCCAGGAATTAACCACCACAATAAACTATTAGTACATTTTTTTTATCAAACAAGAAAAACATAAACACTTGAAGGTTTGGACAATTGAAGAAGAAAAGAGAAACATCATTTTGTTGTTAGGCCACTAGGAAAACCTCTCATGAGAGACCAAGCTCAAGAAGACTCCAAAGGAACGTCAAAATGTATAGGAAGTCACGAAAGGCGATCAAGAAGATATTGCATGCTGATAATGGTGATGGAGGCAAAACAAAGAAATTTTAATTTAAACATGCCAAAAAATTTAACAGAAAACAGAAGACTAGTAGTTTTAAAAAACGCCCAAGATCCACTATTCTAGAGCAAGAAGAAGAAAAAAAAAACAATTTATAGGAATGATATTTGACCAGAAAAGATGTAAAGAACTACAAACCAAAAAGCAACCCAGAAACAAGAAGATTAGGGAACACAACTATATACATATATATATTTTTTTGTGGGAGAAATTAATTATCGTCACTTAAAAATCGATATAACCAACCCAATGAAAAAAGCATCTGTTGGAAAATGGGATTTTAGATGCTTTTAGAACAGTTCTTGATTTTTAGAAATGAAGATTGGACGATTTTCGATCATCACGTGAGATAGTTATCAGAGTTGGATGTTTCTTTTAACCGATATGCTTAATTGCTTTAATGA